CCCCCCAACTACCTGTCTTGTATACATACTAGCCCAGCCCCTGGCTTCTTTACTTTTCATTCCATCCAGGAAGAGCACGCACCAACTGCTGAAACTTCCTTAGCCTGACGAAGGGTTTTTGAATCCGAAAACTTGCTTAATAACTATTCTCCAACCATTTGGGTTGGTCTAATAAAAGATATCAGATTCACCCAACCTTGTCTGCCTATTGTGTTTGAATTATTTGTTTAGATTTGGACAACATGTTGTTAATGGAATTTATGTAATATAACTTTGAAGTATCTCCATTCGTCTCATGAGTTATTAATACTGAGGTCCAGTGGTAACAGTTCAGATGGTAGTCCAAATGGATGTGAGGAATTAGAGGGTCATGTCTAATTTGTGTGGAACATTTTTTAATTTGCAGAACTGGTCGCATGATAAGCTGCCTTATTTTTCCCTCGGTAACTGTTTTACTGGTGTTCATTTTAGTGGAAACATTTAGGTAACGTGCTTATCCAGTTAAGTGTTTCAGCATCAATATATCCCTGGAAGAGAATAGAAAACTGCACTAAGGGTGTTTAACCTCTCTGGTCTCAGGATCATTTGGTAGGGGGAATATGGAAAAAGATGGCTTGTTCTGAACTTAGGTTTGCATGTCTGCATTTGTAAAACTGAAGAGGTGTATGCCTCCTACTCCCGCAACTAATTAAACATGCATTCAGTCCAGTTACAACAGAAAAAATCCAGTAGCAGCCTTGCAAGCGTAACTAGGCACGATCGGCAGTCTCCTATAGTCAAAGTACCTCTTCTTTCTGCAGGATTTTGCATCATTGTGGGTGGGGAAAAAATGTTGGTATTGAAACTGGAAATGTTGTGACAAGAGTTCTTCTAGGCTGGGGACAGAAGTTGCACATAAACTGGTTTAAGTGATCAGAAACTGGTTTAAGCTGTAATAGAACAGAAGCTTAGTGCACATAAACCAGTTTCAAAATGGTTGAAACTGGTTTTAAATAAACCTGGTTGAATGTAGTATCAGATTTAACTGATTTAAGTCTAACTAGTTTGTGTAACTTTTGTCCCAGATCCCTACCTGATCCAAGTTAAATCATAGTCCCCCAGCATCCCAGGATACTTTGCAGCCCTGGGCTGGGCTGTGCTGGGCCGGGCTGTGCTGTTTGCTCTGGAGAGCAGGGTTGGCCCCACCTCTCTGCTCGCTCGCTAGCTGGAGCAGTGAAGGATGGCTGACAAGGGGTTGGGATAGAAAACCTGGCTGGGGACTGCAGCCCCTGCCAGACTTTTCCCTGCTGGAGTGGAGGGGGTAGGGGCATGAGCAGGTAGGCTCAGGCAGAGGGGATAGAGCAAGGTTTAAACCCCCCTCCCACTGGCATGGAACCCCAGCCGGGGTCTGCCTGGCAGGGGGGCAGCAGGAGACCACCAGAATCCACCCCCTCCCATCTCTGGCAGAGACTGAGGCAAGCAGTTAATAGGGAATGTAATTTTCCTCAGCTCCCCCAGGCTGTGGGGGAGGGGGAAGAAGCTGGGGGATCAGGGCAGGAGGGACTGGTCCCCTGCTGCCAGTGATTACAGGGCCAAACTCTGCAGGACCAGACTGAGAAGGGGGAGGTGTTAGCAAAGACCTGGCACAATCATCGCATGTATTTTCTGGAGACAGAGCTAAGGGAACAGGAGAGGGTCCCAGACTACTTGGGCTGATGTGACCCAAAGAAAGCAGAGAACTACATGTACATTATAAAGCAGTTCCTGTAAAAGGTGGGAGAGTGGAATACCTAAGAAGAGACAAAAGACACTGAGTGCGTGAGAGTCCTGCTGCAGGT